TAATTTCATTTTCATTCTACCGTTTCTAAGATCAACAAGCTTATGGCAGGATGACCACACCTAGGCCACTTTTCTCCATTGAGTTTCGATAGGCTTGAGCCTTGCACGTACCAATTGGTAACCATAGCTTACCATCCACGTACAAAGGCATAACGATAACTGGGCCGTAGGTTTTCAGTGGCTCTAATGCAGCCGCGATTGTAATTCGCTCCGTGGATGGACTTCTTTAGCGCCAAGCGGCGATCTGATCCTTTTACTTTTTGAAACTTTTATGTTAGAAATTTAAAAAATTCGCAAAGGATGGACGAATATCATGAATAGGCTATTGGCTGGGAAAGTAGTCATTACTGAAAATGCAAAAACTCAGTCCAGCAAACACTCCTTATCCAATCACTAGCATCCTGTTTTCAATGGTTGTGCTTTCAATTTATCTGCAGATATAGAGTTTCTAACTTGATAATTTTTGTTCCGGAAATTTTATATATTTTCATTTACAGTGGACTAAACTTTCAATGCCACATAATAATGCTGGCGCATGGAACTGCTCGTTAAACCCCTACCAAAAATATTTAGTGTAACGTCTCTCGATGTCAGCGGAAATGAAGAGGTGAATGACCCGGACCATATCTGCCATACCTTTCACTGTCATAATAGAGCGGAGAGCGCCCATCTTGTGATTTAGAGGCAGAAGGGACAGGGAAATGCTTACAAGTTATGGCGTTCCCACTTTCTTTCTACGTTTCTTTTTAACTACAAGAAGAGGATATCCCCTAATTTTGCTTAGGTGAAATGCTCTGCAGAAAATGGCGGAAAATACAAGTTTTTTTCGAACGCTATTGACAGCCACAACATAGTATACATTCACATGGCCTAAACGTTTTCCTCTGTCGGCGCTGTCAGCTCATCGCAGCTCAAAGCTTGCCTATGACGTTCTAGCAGCAGCTAGGGAAGAAAAGGCAAAACTTATTGTGTCGTTTATGTCGTAACGACTTTATAAAACATGGTTTCAAATGAAGGAGCACTAAAATTAAGCAAGCCGCACTTCTCGTTTGTGCAAGATTCTTACATTGGTTTAACTCCAAATAAAAGTTGCCTGTGACATTTCTGACTTATTTTCTTAGGATTTCCTAGCTAAGCTTAAAAGCGTTTCTGCAGGCATCCCATTTTAGAATTATATGAAAATCCACTGATTTGACAAAAAAGGAAGGGGTAAGTTTTTGCA